TATGTGGCAGTCATGACCGCTTCTCCCCAGTATGTGGTCAAGACAACCACAATAAGAACTTTGTTATCTATTGCTGGAAAAAGGAAATATCACGTCAGACCTCTAGATGTAAAGACAGCCTTCCTGAACGGCAAACTAAAAGAAACAATATACATGAAGCAACCACCGGGATATGAAATTGAAGGACGTGAGGATTGGGGTTGCAGACTCAATGGGAGCATCTATGGACTCAAGCAAGCTGCACACGCCTGGAACAAAAAACGAAATGAAATCTTGATTCAATATCAATTTGAGCGTAGTGAGAGCGATCCATGTCTCTACAAACACGGAGGCAACACCCTCACCTATCTTGTCGTCCATGTGGACGACATTATAATTACTGGCAGTAGTGAAAGGAGAATTGAGCAAATAACAGGAGCACTCAATAAATTTTTCTCCATCACAGATCTCGGTGAGATAAAATGCTATTTGGGTGTGGAAATAAGGAAGAATCAGGAAGGAGAATTTCTCATAAAACAATCCAGCTACATCACAAAGGTCCTGACACGAGCTAGACTCAACGAAGCCAAGGATTCAAGATACCCCATGGACACAGGATACGAAAAGATACGTCAAGAGTTATCTAAAATAAAAAATTCTTGCTACAGCAAACTCATAGGCGCTCTGTTGTACATTTTAATTAACACAAGGCCAGATATCGCTGCACCTGTTGCCATCCTAGCCCAACATATAACAAACACAAGACAGGTGGATTGGAACGAATTAAAGAGAGTGTGCAGATACTTAAAAGGGACAATTGACTATGAATTAAAGCTCAACGATAAGACATCTGATCAACAGGAATTAATCGCCTACGCAGACGCAAATTATGCAGAAGATAAAGAGTCACGAAAATCTAATGCAGGATTCCTTTTCAAGCTCTTTGGAGGCACAATCAGCTGGAAAAGTAAGAAGCAATCATGCATAGCTGAATCATCCACTGAATCAGAACTGATGGCACTGGCAGAAACGCAACGTGAACTTAGATGGCTGATAGTCGTGCTGGAGTTTTTCAACGAAAAATAAAATCTACACATTACGATCTATGAAGATAACCAAGGCTGTATCAGCACCATAAACTCAGAAGGATGGAGTGACAGCATGAAACACATCGATGTTAAATACCTGAAGGCAAGAGAATTAGTGAACGATGGGATCATTAAACTGAAATACTGTGCAACAGAAATCAACTTGGCAGACATGCTAACCAAACCACTAGGTCCACAAAGGACAGAAACACTGGCCACCATGATCGGACTTGGACTACAGTAAAGTACGACATTCTGCCAGTGAGGGGAAGTGTAGAGAATCATACAAGTACATGCATTCCATACACACACAGCCACATACACACTAGCTAGTCCAGTCAGTACCGTCACACTCGGTTATGTATATCAGTCAGAACAGAATAAAGCAACTGTGCAGACGTGCCTTGTACGTATACATAAGGGTTTATCTATATGCTATCCTATCCCGCTCTCCCAGAATCTTCTACATTGATTAAATCCAGTCTAAATTCAGTGACTCAACGAATTTACAGTGAAAGACAATCATCAATTTAATTAGACATTCAACTATTGAAAACCAAAGAGTGTAAATTAATTGACAAGTGGTTCGATCCCATAGAAATATAGTGTGATTATTTTAATCCGGCTACAGTAATTTTCCCAACAACTCCCTCCACATTTTCATCCCACATCCACCCTAAATCTAGTTCACCAAACAGACCTTATTTATATATAATAGAATTTTTCAGAAAAAACATCTTTTGATATTTTCTCGTCAAACCCCTCATTATCAAGATAATCCCACTTTTCCAAAGACTAAAAATCTATTGATATCAATCTAATTCCCCATCTTTCTTAATTCCGCATTCATCTCGAAAACAATCAGTCCAACCGCAAAATATCATTCGACTTTTTTTGTAGCTCACAAAATTCCCCATAAATAACCTCTTATGACATTTTCCCGTAAACTCCTTCATTCTCAAGTTAATCCCCAATTTACAAACCCCTCAAAAATTCCAATCAGCATTGTCTTCACCAATAACCCCATAAATACCCCCCCCCCTTGCCACCACTTGCTACCTTCCATGGCATCACCTTCTCAAAAAGGATAAAAAATCTAAAATCTAGAATTTGTTTAATTCAAAAGTTTAGAACTTTTCTAGGAATTCTAGGAACTCTTTTCTGGGCATGTATAAAATTAGAGAGAGGCATCATTATTGCAATACTTATGCTACTAAATATTTTATAAATCTTTAACATTTTTTTTGGTTCAACCAGTACACTTTTAAGTTACATAATTATTACTAGTTATTACGAAATGAAAAAATAGGAGGAACATAGCGACATTTCATATTTTTGCATATATCATTAAGGAAATATTGCTTTCAAAAGATACTCGTGGCTTTTCTTGAGCCGTTACTCTCCCGTCATACTGGACCCATTTACCATCTCGACGAGGGCAGATTGCCAAGTAATGCCCTATCGGTCGGAAATCACCCGAATCACGTCTACCTGGAGGAATCAAGTGGACAATTCCTATCAATCTCATAGGACTTGAATCTTCTGGATGCCTCATTTTTTTAGGAACATCCTTCAGTTTCTTGAAGACATAAGCTCCAGTTGGAAAATAAGGCTCGAATGCAACGACATCTCCTGGAAAATTAATATGGACGATTAAATTCATGAAAAAAAAGCATTCTTTATAACTTACGAGGAAGCCTGGGGGGGTCAGATTAATTATTCACTAGGTACTAATTAAGAATGATCAATCAGTTGTTAATGATTTTTTCTTGGATTTATTTGAGTGAATTGGTGATATTCTGCGTTGAATTGAAATTTTTGTGTGGGGCTTTTGACGTTTACCTTGGGGAGGAGTGGGTTTAGAGAGAAATGTGTAAAGACCTTGTTTGGTGAATGACTAAATTTAGGGTGGATGTGGGATGAAAATGTGGAGGGAGTTGTTGGGAAAATTACTGATGAGCCGGGTTTAAAAACCACACTTTATTTTGTGGGATCGAACCACTTTGTCAAAACTATTTACTCTTTGGAAATTTTAATAGTTGAATGTCTAAGTAAATTGATGATTGTCTTTCACTGTAAATTCATTGAGTCACTGACTTTAGGCTGAATTTAATCAACAGAGGTGATGTACTGAACAAAACGGTGATCTTACAAAGACCGGTGATGTACTTGATTACTAGTGAGCTAGGTGAGGTTCAAAGAACTACTGTACTCGGTGAGGTGCGATATAAAACTTGTACAGGTGATTTGCCCGAGATAGACTTGTACGGTGAGAGGCTAAGCCTAAACTGATTCGCGCGTGTTTCGGTGACTTATGACTGATGACCCGAAGGGTCCCGGAGATTTTCGAAGTAGGCCGATGGTCGACCAGAATGTTCTGGAATTTTAGTTGCGTTTCAAACAGACCTTTTTGCAGCGCATTGAATTTGCTACAAATCATGTCTTATGACATTTCCCTTCAAATTCACTCATTATCGCGATAATTAAACGATTAGAAAATGGAAAAATTATCTGAGTGGAAGAGAAGATTAATGAACAACTTTGTCAACTTGTTGATAATGTCAGTAATTAATGTAGCTGTAGAGGGGAGGGGATAATCAAATTACTTATCAGCTATTTATTAATTGAAAATTATCAATTGGTTATTAATCATTCTTTTGTGGATTAATTTGGGGGGATTGATGATATCTGAGGTGAAATACCGATTTTTGTTTGGGGTTTTTGGCATTTATCTTGAGGAGGAGTGGGTTAAGAGGGAAATGTGTGAAAACCTTATTTGTAGCTCATTAAATTTGCTAGAAATCATGTCTTTTGGAAATTTCATTTAAATCCACTGATTATTGAGATGATTGAACAATTAGCAAGTGCTGAGATTATTTGAGTGGAAGAGGGGATTAAGGAACTATTTTGTTAATTTGTGGATTATCTCAGTAATGAGGGATTTTACGAGAAACTATCTAACAACCTTTTGTGTAGAGAATGCAATTCCGAACAAAAAATGTCTATTTGAAACGCAACCCAACCTCTCCAAGACCAAGGTCGATCAGCTCGGCCAATTACGAAAATCATCGGTCTTTTCCGGGTCAACGCTCAGGTCTAGTAGAGTCACCGTAAATCAACGCGAGTCAGTATAAAACGATCGGCCATATACTTCGTTTTGATTAGAGTTCAACTCCGTCTTTGAGTAACGCGCAGAGTGTAGAAACGTTCAGTACATTAACTTCTATTAGCTCGGCGATAGAAATTCAGTAAAGAGAAAATCACATTATTTATTGGCCATTTAACCAGTGACTCAACAGTGCAAACCTATAAACAATTAAAATTAATTCAGTACGATCAACTAGTGACAAGGTGTTTTGTAAATTGACAAAGCGTGGTTTGAACGCGAGAATAAATTAACGTTCATATTAGGTCAAGACTCTCAACAATTATTTCACATCGACGATCCTCTAACCTCCCAATCCACCCTAAATTTAGCTCTTCACCAAACATTAGTCCTTCGAGCCAGATCTGGGAGTAATTAGTGTGATCGGATTCGGGTGAATTTAAAAAGGCGCCTCGTGTAACGAACGTTCAGGGTCTACACGAGTCGGTCAACGGACAGAGTCTCAACGGACAAAGAATAGTTGTGCTATTGTTTTCTCTTGGCAGTAATTCGAAGTGTAAACATCAGTGTCTCAAAGTGGTGAAAAGGTTCGTGAGAGTTCGGGATATACGAGAACTCACGCCGAAGGACCTCAACGCTGGGCCAGTGCCATCAGCAACAGGCGGCCTCCCAAGCGACGCCTTACCGACACAGCGCAAACATCTACGGTCGGTAACGCATCGACACTACGTCAACAGTTGGTAACGCATCGACAGTCGATACATCACCGACATCCGAAGCCACTCAACAAAGAATTCTCAGGCAAGTAGACTTTCAATTACATCATCATGTCTGATCCAGATACCGTAATTGAACAACAAGCCGTAGATAATCAACAAGATACTAGAGGCGCAGCGGCACAACCAACGAAGACAGAACCTCCACCATCAACAATTCCGAAAGTTGTAATCAGCGAGACTGAAGGTGAAGCCAACATCCCGAGTACTCAACGAATTCAGCACATCAAGAGGAGATACTCGGAGGTGATAGGGCAACCCGCTGCAGGTCTCACTGTGCATCAAGAGATTCTACTGAGGCAGCTAAATTTCAGAGTGGAGAGCATCACCCACATTTATAAGGAGCTCACCACCACGATCATGAATGACGAGGACGTCACCGTGGAAGAGCTGGATGGTCAGAAAGAAATCCTTGAGACCTACTGGGCAGAGTTTCTCTCGCAGCAGGGAGGCATAATCGACTATCTCCCTCACGATCATCCCTACTTGACTGAAGGAATCTTCGAACAGACAGCTGCCACAAAGGAGCAAAGTGTAAAGCTCATCAGTAAGCTGAAAGTTCGGCTGTCGAAGAAAACTCAACCAGCAAGCAATTCACCAGGCCATGAACACCCAGACAAGCTCAAACGTCTGGATTTGAAGGTTTTCGACGGCACCCCATCCCAGTGGAAGCAATTCAGAGATCTCTTCACCTCGCTGGTCGGTAGCAAACCAAAAATCGCACCAGTGGAGAAGTTGATTAGGCTCAAAAGCAGCCTCAGAGGACCTCCAGCTACTCTCATATCGACATTGGACATCAACGACCAGAATTATGAAAAGGCTTGGCAGAAGCTCAAGGCGAAATACGATGATCCAAGATTGGTGGCTCAGTACCTGTTCAATCGAATACTGGAGCTACCAAAAATCACCAAGGCAACTCAGGAGAAACTCAATCACAACACAGCAGCAGCAGTCGAGTCGCTAGACCAGCTACGAGAGGTAGTCGGTCTCTCAGATGCGAACTTGATTGAACAGATGATCGCCTACTTGGTGAGGAGATCATTAGATGCAGAAACCCTCAAGCAGTGGGAATTGAAACTGGGAGACTCCAGAGACTTTCCCAGTCTGAAGGAATTCGTCGGATTCGTCGAAGCCTGCGGCAGAGGAATCAACGCAGGATCAGAGCTTCATGCAACACAGGAAACCAACATCGCCGACAGGAAATCACTGAAGAAGAAGAAGAGCTCTTACGCAGCAGCTACTCAACAAGACAGCAACGCTGAGAGGCTTCTTCCGAGAAACTGTTGTGCCATGCGTAAGGAAAAACACTTTATCGCTGAGTGCCAGAAATTCAGGGAGTTGCCCCCAGTAAAGAGGAACAGCGTGGTCATAAGCAATGGCCTCTGCTTCAGCTGTCTGGGACCTCACCGAAAGACGAAGTGTTTCTCAACGAAAAGATGTCAACAATGTCAGGGCAACCACCACACTTTAATTCATGGAGGAAGCGAGTACACCAACGCTCCACCACGAACTCGACGTGACTTGGAATCAACAGATGTCCCTGCATCAGCAAAAGTCGATCCAGGGCAGAGTACAGACAAGATCACGAGTGAGTGAACGAATTATAGCATAATCAACAAAATAACCTCCTCATTGGTCATTCTCAACAGCTCGACCCAGTACATCAACGGCAACAGTCAACCTCAACAACCAGCGGACCAGTGAGAATGCAGAAACAACTCAACAAGAAGCAGATCAGCAATCAGTGCTGTTAGCAACAGCACAAGTCAAAGTGAAATCCCCAAAAGGATTCATCAGCAGAGCCAGAGTACTAATTCATCAAGGATTAGAGGTGTCATTTATCTCTGAGAAATTAGTACATCAACTGCACCTCACAAGAACAACAGAAACGTTGGAATTAATAGGAATTGGCGGAGTCAATTCAGGCCACACAAGAGGAAGGGTGTCGATGACGCTACAAGCAATCAACGGGCCCCAGCAAGTAAAACTCAACGCCCACGTCTTGAAGAAACTCACAGCACTTCTGCCATCATTCTCCTGTGAATCAGTCGAAATCGGCTCACTAGAAAATCTTCAACTAGCTGATCAAAAGTATCTCCAGCCTGGACCAATAGATATAATAATAGGGGCTGACAACTACGGGCAGATAATTAAAGATGAAGTTGTCAAGTCTAAATAGTCAAGATTAGTTGGCCAACGAACAGCATTTGGTTGGATATTATCAGGTCCAATCAACTGCTCCAGTCGCTCAACGAGGGTCTCCCTATCAGCTGTACGGGAATCTTCAAATGAACGACTACTAGAGCTTCTACAAAGGTTTTGGGTCCAGGAAGAATTACCAGTCCAACGTTCAGACAACTCAGAGCTATCACAAGACGAGCTGGAGTGTGAAAAACACTTCAGATCAACACAGAGCAGAGATTCAATAGGGCGTTACATTGTGAGGCTCCCATTGAAAACGTCAGCAGAAGCGCTCGGGGAGTCAAAGTTCAAGGCTTCACGACAGCTCAAATCAACAGTCAGCAAACTCAACAACAATCAGGAATATGCCCAGCTCTACAAGGAGTTCATCAACGAGTACGAGGCTTTGGGACATATGCAGAGAGCACCCGATTCTCCAGAACCTACCCCAGCCTATTATCTGCCACACCACGGGGTTCTGAGAGAAGAGGCCATCACCACAAAGCTGAGAGTCATTTTCAACGGCTCCAGTCCCAGCTCATCAGGTATGTCACTCAATGATATATTATATCCTGGTGGAAAATTGCAGATTAACGCCATGGACGTCTTGACATGGATGAGAAAGCACAGACTCGTGTTTGGCACCGACATCGTCAAGATATTTAGACAGATACGAGTTCACAGGGAGGATTGGGACCTCTAGAGAATTTTGTGAATTGATGATAATCAGCAACAAATCTCCTATCAGCTAACCACAGTCACCTACGGTCTCAACTATTCTCCATGGCTATCTCTGAGAGTTCTTCAACAATTAGCGGAGGATGAGGGTCACCGCTTCTCAGCAGCCGTCGAGACAATCACCAGAGGTCGGTATGTTGACGACATCTACGGCGGAGCTGAGTCAGCAGCAGAACTCAAGGAGATAGTCTGGCAATTACAAGGACTCTGTCAGGCTGGAGGCTTCGCTCTTCAGAAATGGAGCAGCAATTGCCCACGGCTATTGCACAAGCTCGGATTATCAACAGAGGAAGCCGTAATCCAGTTTGAAGAATCAGTCACCAAAGTTCTTGGAATGTGTTCGCATCAGTCGTCCGACACATTCAGTTATAAATCCAGAGACTTCAACATACAGACGATCACCAAGAGGGTTGTATCTTCAGAGATAGCTCAGATTTTCGATCCTTTGGGCTTCATCGCTCCAGTCGTCGTAAAAGGGAAAATTCTCCTACAGGATCACTGGAAACTCAAATGTAATTGTGATGACCCCCTCCCCACGGAGTACACTCAGCGATGGGAGTCATTTCGTCAGGAACTCACAGAATTGGATAAAGTTGCTGTACCCAGATGGCTCAATTTATCATCAAAAGAAAATAACATTCAATTACACGGATTCGCAGATGCTTCAACCGTAGCTATGAGTACAGTGGTGTACATATGCACCAAGAACATCAACGAGCCAGCTTCAACAGTGATGGTCTGCGCGAAGACAAAGGTAGCACCGATCAAGCGCATGACTATTCCAAGATTAGAGCTTACAGCAGCTCTCTTGTTAACATAACTAGTAGCGTCAACACAGAGGATGCTTCAGCTCGACCATGCAGGAACTCATCTTTGGTCGGATTCAGCAGTAACACTCGCCTGGATCAGAAGCCACGCATCAAGGTGGAAAGATTTCATCCACAACAGAGTAGTCAAGATCCAGGAAACTCTTACGAATGCCACCTGGAGACACGTCAGTGGGAAAGAAAATCCAGCCGACTGCGCATCCAGAGGCACATCTCCAAGTCAGCTAGCCGATCATCAACTTTGGTGATCAGGACCTGAGTGGATTAATCAGGATCCTGAAGAGTGGCCACAATCAAGAATTGACGCTCCAGCAATGGACATCCCAGAAGTGGCCAAGGAAGCGAAACCAGCACGAGCACATCCAGTTGCACCAAAAGTCAACGAACTTGCTGAGCTACTCACCAGGTACAGCTCGATGGCTCGGCTTCTAGCAGTAACAGCGACTAGCAACAGGGCAATCGACAGATTCAGAAGACTGCCGACGCCCCCGGGACCAGTCCTGTCAACAAGAGAACTCAACGAAGCGAGATTATTCTGGGTAAAAATAACACAAAATCAGTACTTTGTTTCAGCCCTTCGTGTGCTTCAGAGAAATCAACAGCTACCACGAGGTCACCAATTAGCAAAGCTCACACCAACCCTAGACGAGTTGAACATCATGAGACTTGGGGGACGCCTGAAGAACTCAGACCTACACCCTGAAGAGACACACCCAATAATCTTGCCACGTCAGTCGAGATTCACCACACTGGTGATCGAAGAAGCTCATCGCAGAACCCTCCACGGAGGGACTCAACTCACACTGGCCTACACCAGGCAAAGGTACTGGATAATCGGTGGCAGGGGCACAGTCAGAGCGTACATTTTGCGCTGTGCTATCTGCACCAGACACCGAGGGAAGCAGGGTCAACAACAGATGGGTCAGCTGCCTGCAACCAGAGTATCATCATCCAGAGCATTTCTCCACACAAGGGTGGATTATGCAGGTCCATTCCAGATCCTGAAGTGGAGACCAACGAATGCACAGCCAGGACAGGTGCACATTGCAGTTTTTGTGTGCTGCACAACTTTGGCAGTTCACCTAGAACTCGTCAACAGGCAGATCACGGGAGCCTTCCTAGGAGCCTACAAGAGATTCACGGGAAGACGGGGCATTCCAGCTGTCATGTATAGTCACAATGCCACCACGTTCACCAGCGCAGCAGAAGTTCTAGAAAGGCTCTATCACCAAGCTTCCAGAGAAAATCAACGAATTCAGGCTGCTCTCGCCACCAATGGGACACAATGGAGCTTCTCACCACCTAGAGCCCCTCATTTCGGTGGCAAATGGGAAGCAGCCGTGAAATCAACAAAATATCACCTCAAAAGAGTCCTGGGAAAGACAACACTAACGTTTGAGGAACTCAACACCATAGTGATCCAGATAGAGGCCTGTCTAAACTCCAGGCCAATCTGTCCGATGTCGGACGATCCAGAAGATCTCCAAGTGCTCACACCAGGACATTTTTTGATAGGTGAGCCTCTCCAAGTAATCCCAGAGTCTTCATACGTCAACGAGAACTCCAGCAAAATTCGACGATGGAACCTGGTGACGCAGATAATTCACCAGTTATGGTCCAGGTGGTCCAAAGAGTGTCTTCAACGGTACCAGTCAATCTTCAAGTGGAAGACACGTCAACAGAACATAGAGGTTGGCAATATGGTGCTGATGATGGAAGACGGCTTTCCACCAACGCAGTGGCCAATTGCCAGAGTCATAGCAACGAAACCAGGAGCAGATGGGCTTACAAGGGTAGCCAAAGTGAGAATCACCAAGGTAGAAGTCGGCACGCATCCAGACGGGTCACCAAAGCTCCAGAACATCAAAACGACCCACTCGGAGTTTGATCGACCAATCGCTAAGCTATGCCTGTTGCCAACAGACCCACCACCACCAGAATAGTCTCAGTAATTCAACAACCCTGATGTAGAATGCCCCCGGGGTGTTTGAAACGCAACCCAACGTCTCCAAGACCAAGGTCGATCAGCTCGGCCAATTACGAAAATCATCGGTCTTTTCCGGGTCAACGCTCAGGTCTAGTAGAGTCACCGTAAATCAACGCGCGTCAGTATAAAACGATCGGCCGTATAGTCCGTTTTGATTAGAGTTCAACTCCGTATTTGAGTAACGCGCAGAGTGTAGACACGTTCAGTACATTAACGCCTATGATCTCGGCGATAGAAATTCAGTAAAGAGAACATCACGTGATTTATTGGCCATTTAACCAGTGACTCAACAGTGCAAAACCATAAACAATCAAAATTAATTCAGTACGATCAACTAGTGACAAGGTGTTTTGTAAATTTGAGAAAGCGTGGTTTGAACGTGAGAATAAATTAACGTTCATATAAGGTCAAGACCCTCAACAATTATTTCACACCGACGATCCTCTAACCTCCCAATCCACCCTAAATTTAGCTCCTCACCAAACAATGTCTTTTGACATTTTCTCCTAAAATCCCCCATTACTAAGATAATCTTCTATTTAATAAACAAGAAAATATCGTAAATCAAAATACTCTCATTTCTTTGAGCACGGAGAGTTTTCAATCCTCTCGACAATTGTTGATGAAAAAATCATTTTCAGAAAACTGGGTGCGCATAAACCCTAGTATCTCTTCAATTTATAGTTGATTAAAATCTCTATCATTTCCATAATATCATGAATTATGTTTGAATTGACTTATTTCATATGAATTTTGGCATGTGTTTTACCCTGGCCTCCCCTATCATTTTGAAAATGGACAATTAGTTGTTTTTTCTTTTTTTGAAATTTTAACTAGCTAAATTCAAATGGAAAATGGTTCTCACCTATGATATTTTCTGTTATCATTTCCTTGCCAGTGCATTTTTGATTAATACATTTTCGAGGATTCTGGGAGAAAATGTACGTATCAAAAATCTCGACTGGCAATTCGTCATCAACGACATCTTCGAATGCTGCGGCATTGAGATTGATGATGGGAAAATAAGATGTATGCTGGAGGCACCCATTCTCACATTGAGATCTTTCAATCCAACTAGGCATTGCAGTGAAAAGTTTCTGTGAAAACCCTCCGATTTCTTGTTCACAATTAATCAACTCATTCCCAGCAAAATTCTCTGTTACTTCGGAATGTTTGAGAAGGATTTTGGCCCTCTGACGGTAACTGTGCGCGTCCAGAATGTGCTTTAATGAGTCAATCACAAGTTGATACAAATCATTGTGAGGAGAATGTTCCATCTGCAAAATGAATAACAAAATTATTCATTAAAATGTGGAAATTCTATGATTCTAAATTCTATTTTATAGGATAAAGAAAAGCCATTCGTTACTTTCTACCATATCATTACTAAATCACAGAAGCGAAATTACGTGACTTACATGAGTACGAATGTTGTCGTAGTCACAGGCACCAGCCAGTAAAATTTGAAAAATACTGTCGAAAGAACAAGTATTTCGTAAAGTTATACGTCGATTGCGAATTCTCACTACCTCTAAATTGTTGGAGTTTCCATTCCTGAGGATGGGTAATCCAGTAGACTTGTTGTAGACTAAGATTTGTTGTAGACTAAGATTTGTCAACTTCCGAGCATTTTGTCCCATGTAAAGTGCTCGTGGGGGTTTATTCTCTTTTTTTTCCCTTTATTGTTCTAATTCTCGATATGGCGTTTAGCCATGAGCTCGAAGGCATGAGCGTTAGGTAAGGAATGACAAGAGAAACATATTCGAGGAGTGTTATAGACTTCTTCCTCGCCTTCGATGGGAAACGAACATCTCTCAAATGGGTGCACAGCCTTTGTGCATATCTTGCACCAGTGAGTACCGGTTGGCCTATCACCTCGAGCACAGGCAACACAATTAGGGAGTGATTCATTTGCATTCGTTGTAGAAAGATCAAAAGCCGAAAAAACTGGACTTTTCTCCAATGGAGTTGAAGTAAATTTCAAGATCGTATCATCACCGATCCCTCTGAATATCTGGTCAAATGTCCCGTTCCCTCCTAGACTAATATTTGACTCATCAACCTTCTCCTTCAGTGGGCTTCGGTGTTTGAATGTATCGTCTTCTTGGCTGTTAATTCTCATACTAATATCATCCGGTTTTTGGGTGTTATCATCAATGCGAGAAGAAACATTTATTCCTGAGGTTTCCTTGCCAAATCTCAGGGGCTCCTCCAGGGACTCAGCATCGTTCAGTTGCCTCTTTCGGGGGGGGGGGAGAAGTGTAGTTTTCTTCAAACATTTTCCTTTTATTCTCAGCGTCTCTTTCAGGAAATATTTCGGCTGTTGATCGGGTGGTATCTTCTCTTCTCGAGATATTTCCATCATCTGAAGTACTTGAATTTTCGAGATTGGATATTTTTTCATCCACAGCATTCTTCACCAACTTCATTCGTACTTGCAGGAATTGGAGGTGATGCTCAATAGCAAAATCCACCCTCTGTTTCCCCGACTTCTTATACAAATTAGTTTTGATCTTCTTAATCTCACATTCCACCGATGCACTCGAGTCTGGAATGCGCCCATAGCCGAATTTGTCATACATCACAGCTGACCAGAGAGGAATTGTCTGAACATCTTTCACCAAACGATGAACAAAATGGGGAGCATAGTAGGGGTTTGGATCCAGTCAGATGTCCTGATTGTCTGCTCCTGCTTTACGATTTTGTTGTTTCCTCTTCGTTTTCTCGTCATCTATTCCTGCCTTTTGCTTAACCACCCCCAAAATATCGTACCCCAATTTGACCACGAATTAGTGATTGTTTCCTCCTCTGTTGTCTCATTCCCTAGCGTGTAGTCGTTGATATGGATCCCAAATGTCACTTCATCCTCAAGGCTTTGGTTTTTATCAGTGTCCTTGTCTACTTCTATGCTCTCCACTAGTGTAGTCACGACAGAATCTAGGGGAAAATAGAAAAAAAGTTGTCACTTGAAGATGCTTTAGTCAAAAGAGCTGAAAAAAATGGGAT